GATCGTCGATCTTGAGCTTTTGCAGCAGCATGGATGAAGCTTGGTACACCAGGCCGCCAACCAAGCCAATTGCAAAGGCGCTGCCGCACTCCACGTTGCCACAGCCGGCGGTGATGGAAACCAAGCCTGCCAAAATGCCATTGCAAAGGCCGCCCACATCGTACTTCTTCACGATGGCATAACGCAAGATGAAGACCGTGATGCCACCAGTGGCAGCGGCCAGCGTGGTGTTCATTGCCACCTGCGCGGCCAGGGCACCCGTCGCGCCATCGTGCATGCCCAGTGTGGACCCTGGGTTGAAGCCATACCAACCAAACCACAATGCGAAGGTGCCAAGCACGACCTGACTTCCAAAACAGGAATCATTATTCAAGATGTTCTCATGCGAGGCTACTTATAACTTGCCTACCAAGCTGCCAAGGGTAAATTGTGCGGCTCAAACTCCTCTGGGTTTACAAAGCGTCCCTTTCGTGGACCAAGCACTGCAGTGCCCACGAGAGCGCTCACGCCGCCAGTCAGGTGCACCACACCGCTGCCAGCAAAGTCCATGTAGCGGGAGTGTTGTCGTTGCCCTCAACCTGGTCCCCGAAGTAGACCGATTTCAGGCAGGAGTCAGCAAAGAGCTGCGGGCATAGATCTGCATGCAAGTAACATGTAGCTAGCGCGATGGCCATCTAAGGCAACTGTAACCTGGTCAAGCGAAGGCAGGTGCGTGCGAAACATGCATCTGCTTGTGACGACTGGCGTAGAGAGCAAATTAAGCGCAGCGGTATTGCACGAGTTGCTTACGTACACTGGCTAAGTGATCCAAGACAAGCACATTTTGTTGGGGAGATGCCCCTGCACAAGGCCAGCCTAATGTTAACTGCATGGCATCCACTGGCCGTCTTGGGCGAGAGGCCTGGAAGGTTACGCACTCCCAGGCACAGTGTTTCCAGTCTGCAACAGCAGGACTACGGCAAAACGGGCAGAAGGCTAGGGCCTCACCCATGCGCGAAACCTGCATCCTTGCTGGGCTGACGATGGACCCCGTCATAACAGCGCGGCCGTGGCCGCAGGTACTGTTCCACAAGCGGTATGCCTGTCTAACACGGGCTTCACTGTATTGAACCTGTGCACACACAGAGGCGTCCCTCCTAGCAGATTGCTTCCAGGCTTGGAAGCGTTGTCTCCGCCAGGCCGCCCTCATCATATGCTTCAGCCTCGGGAGTGGCATGTGCCAACTGATCCGTTCCCTTGGTAGGTCGCTGTGCGTCCAGTGCCCCTGGGGCCTGAGCTGCCATCCCAAGTCTTTGAGATGTTGCCAGGCAGCATACTGCCAGGTGCCCTGGATGGCTCGTGCTGCAATAGTGGCATAACCCTGCTGGAAGAGCCGTGCCCACATCGACACAGTTTGGCTGTGCGCCATAAACTGCAGGTCTAGACTGTGCCCCTGCAGAATAGCAACGAGGTCGTTGGAGGGCTGGCTAGAATAGGCACAGAGGGTCCTGGCAAGGTGGCTTTGCAACTTACTCCATGTGCCGTGGGCGCGGTGAACGAGCCAGGTACCCCACACGGCTACAGGGACCACATGCTGCCTGAGAAGCGCGCACTTGTGGGCAAAAGTGAGGGGAAGGAGGGCAATGCGTTTCGCTCTTGCTTCCGCCACTTGCCGTCTCTGCTGGTGCGTGGGGCGGTCCTTGCCATTAATCCTAGTGCGAAAGTCAACACCTAACACACGTAAGGTGGCTACTACAGGCAGAATGCCGGAAGCAGTCACCTCCTCACTGGCCAGTTTGCTTCTGGCAAGGAACCTTTGCTTGGCACAGTTTTCGCGCAACCCCAACTGCGAGGTCCACCTGTGCCAGAAGGCAAGTGTCCGGTGCAGCTGGTCGTGGTCCTTGACTACCACGTTCCTGTCATCCAAATACACACACAGTTCAGCGGAAGGCTCCGCTTGCCTGAAGGCCTGCACAGGAGCCCACATCAGAGCGTTGAGGCCCATTGGCGATAAGGCGTCTCCCTGAGGGAGGCTTGACTGTACAACTGCGGGCACAGCATCGTAGCAGTTCTGGAGGCTGAGGTATCTCTGCTGGTGTCCCCACTGGAACCTGCAGAGATCGACCATGGGCTGTGGCATGCCTAACTGTGCTAAGGCGTGCGTGGCACATGTCGGGTGCACGTAATCGAAACACTTAGAGTAATCTAAGGAAAGAAGACCGTAGCATTTCTCGTAGGCCTTGTGCAGCCGGTACACGGCAGTATGGACACCGCGGCGTTCAAAGCCTCCATGAGCTCCTGGGGGGGCCCATTGCTGCTGCCACTGCCTCGTGTCGCTTCGTTTCGCCCATGCAGAGCTGGCAATGCGGCACAGGATGGGTTCAAGGACTAAGGGCCTAAGGAGGGAAACCTCTAAACCAAGGCCGGGGTCGGGCTTATCCTTAGGGGAATGGACTTGCAGGTAGCATTGCCACAGGCGTGGAAATGCTTGGGCTTCGAGCCATCTCTGCCACAAGGTCGCGTACAGTTGCCAAATTGCAGTCGGCCAGTGGCGGACTTCCTCGCCGGTCCAACCATCTGCTCCTGCAGCTTTGTGATGGCAGCGTTTGGCTTGTTGTTGAAATTCCGCTGCACTGAGGGGCCGCCATGGTAAGGCATTAGGGCGGTTGTGTCGTTGGAACTCTGCCTGCCAGGCCTGGGAAACAGCCAAACTGCGTGTGAAGGGCATGCGTGCCAACAAGCCTAAACTGCCCCCCTTGCAAGCTGTGCAATGGCTTCGCGACCTGTGTGAAGAGGGTATTGAACCCAACCCCGGACCATCCAACTCGAGCCAAGAGCAGGGAGCTGACAAGCAGCTCCGCCTCATATCCCTAAATGTGCAGGGCCGCACTACATGAGCGCCCAAACACACATAATTGTGTTTCAGGAAGTCTGCCTCTTGCCTGATCAGTTCCACAAGTTCCAAACTCAAGCACGCGCCGCGGGCTACAACTGCTACGCTGCCCTAGGTACCGATAGGGTTTCGGTTAGGGGTGTTCAGGGCTCCTCTGGGGGTGTCACTGTGCTCATACGTGATAGCATCAAGGCCACGCCGTGCCAGGCCTGGCAAGGGTCTGCTGGTCAGTGCCTAGCCTTAGATTTCGGTTCCTTTCTACTTCTGGCTGTCTACCGGCGGCCTGCAGATACCGAGGTGCCAGAAATGACCGAACACGTGTGTCAAACTGTGTGGGCCAACAGGCCCCGGCAGCCCTGGGTTATTGTAGGTGATTTTAATTGGTCCCCTAGCCTTAACCCTTGGGTTCCCCTTTTGGCTAATAGTAATGCCTGCCCCGTTGCTGCTAAATGCGCTGATGGCCACTACCTGCCGACCAGGTGGGAAGGTAGGGAGTGCCTGGACTACGTCCTCACAAACGTGGCCCAACAGTGTGATGCTGAGCTTGAACACACAAAATGGGGAGACCACATCCCCATTAGTATCCGTATGGCATTGCAGCCTGCCGCCACACAAGCAGTGGAGCTGAAGCCTACAGCCCGCTACCAGTGCCCGACGGATATGAGTGAAGCTTCTTGGTGCCACAAACTCGAGAGTGCCTGGAT